CTCCCCCTCCTCCCCTTCCTCCGCCTCCCCCTCCCCCTCTCCCTCCTCCTCCTCCCCTGCCTCCTCTACCTCCGCCTCCTCTGGACCCTCGCCCCCGTCGTCGCCGTCCTCGAATCCTCCTGGGCCGCCCGCCCCCTCCTCCGCAGCGCCTCCCTCCTCCGCGGCATGGCCCCCGTCGCCGCCTCCTCCATCCTCTTCTTCTCCTCCCTCTACGCCCTCCTCCTCTGCTCCACCTCCCTCCTCGCCACTGCCGACCACCACCTCAACCGCTTCGCCTTCCTCCTCCGCATCGTCCTCACCTCCGCGCTCCTCGTGCTCCTCCTCCTCTACAACGCCGCCGCCGACACCGTCCTCTACATGTACTGCAAGGCCGTCCACGGCGAGCTCGCCGCCGACATCGCCGATGAGTTCGCCTGGCAGTACGTTTCCCTCCCCTTCGACGACGCCAAGGTCCCGCACGTTGTTTCCGTTGTCACCGCATGATCATTTCGGTTCGTCCGGCTTTTTGTATTATAGTAATAACATTACAAGTGTAATCAATCAGTCCTTAGCATTGTTCCATAAATAAATATTTGTTATTGTTGATGCCAAATGTGTGTGCCTCTTTTTTTGTTGTTGAGGGAGTGTTATGTTTTGTGATGGCTTTGTTTTCGGAATGAGGGTTTTAATTGTGGATGCGTAGTGTCGAAATCAGGGAATGTTGTGATTGGGATCTTTTGGGTTTTTTTAATTCCAAGGTTTAGAACTAGAAGGGTGCAAGTGTTGTTGCCTTGCTTGGCCAAATTGTGCACAATTTGGTTAATTTTGTGATGGTATTAGGTGGCAGATTGGAAAATGTTTCTTGCAAAACAAAATGGCTAAATGAGTTAGTTCTCTTCTTTGGTTTTGGTTTGTGGTTTCGGGCTTGTTTATTTTTTGATAAGTAGGAAAGATTTAGAATTATGTGCATATTGCTACAACTCCCCCATTGAACTGATCCCGGTGGTTCTTGGAATTTATTTATTAGGTGCTGAATACAAAAATGGTAAGAAATAATGGAACCAGTGGTAGATTCTTTTCCAATAGCCTGCTTAAATTGCTCAAGTGAAGATGTAATCTTTATTGACTAAATTTTAAATGAACGTGATCTTCATTAAGAATATACCATTACTTGTGCAGTTTATGGGTAAGATAATGCAAACTTGCAGTGATATACTATTTCTATATATAAATTGCTGCACAGAATAATTTGTTCGAATCTTCATGTCTTTCTTAGTTTCTAATGGTTTATAGATTCTTTCATTCAATAGTGAAACGGCCAACAATAATAATCACTTTTTGCCTCTTTTCAGTCATTGAAAATGGAGAAGGTACTAAATGTTCGAATCTCAGGGTAGATATCGTGGCTTGAAAAAGTTAAAGCTGAAGAAACTGATTAATCTTGGGGTAAAAATTTTCAAAAATTAATATGGTATTATTGTGTTGGCAGGTGGTGACTCAAGAAATAATCATTCAATTACTTGAAAACCAAGGATGCATTCTCGTGAATCCCTCTTTGGCAACTTATATTTTAAGCAGCAAGTGCTAAAGACTTGCGTTATACTTAACCTAGGATGCAAATTATATTTTTCACGTCTCTTCATTAATCATTTTTGAACACGATGTTGCCGAGGGAGAAAACAGAATAACAACGACAAATGGTTGTACTTTTAAATGTTTTATGTTTGTGTATTTTTGGCGTCAACACAGTTCAATTGTTAATTCCGCATCTTCCAAAGGATTTGTGACATGGAACGAGAATGCTACGAACTTTGTCACATGCTAAGGAAGTATGAATTTTTCACAAATTTATGAAATTTAATTTAGTTGTCCACCTGACCGGGCATTAAGTTGAAAATACTGACGAGTATAAAAATAGTGTTTTTTCTGGCCCACTGTAAATTAAATTCATCTTAGATTCATGCACTCAAAGAGGCTAAGTCAATTATCTAATGATGTAAAAATGTCTGTCTTTAGAGAAACGTTGAAACTCTCGCGATCAAACTAAGCGAAGATTTTGACTACGTTGGCCAACAATTCTCGTATATTTATAAAAGTCCATAGCATTGGCAAATTTATAAAGACATACCATGTTTTTTAATGTATGCAATATTTCGTTATTTTACGGGGGAAATTGACCAAAATGTTTCCAAGCTTTACTATCATAATATACGAATTAAATAATAGTTTACATATTTTCATTTACAATTACACAACTAAAAAGTAATTTATTAACACATGCAATTGTTGCTTTTATAGTTTTGTTAAGATCTCACTTCATTTTAAACTTACTTTAAACCAAAATTTAATAAAAGACCATCCAACAACTCACCAAAAAAAACGAAAAAAGAAAGACAATATACTGCTATATACACATTAAATAGTAGCAGTTATTAGTTCCAGCCGTTAAACCATTCTCACTTTCAAATAGATTTTCTTTGAATGACCTTTAAGTCATTCGAGACGTAAAGTAAAACTCATTAAAGAAGTCAGAAGAATATGAATTGAAGAGCTGTTAAATTAGCAAATTGTTTACAACTAAGTCGATTCAGACATAGTTTTAATAGAAGTTATACATGACGATACAAACTGAAGTCTAACAACAGTAACATTTTGGAGGTAGGTGGAATAATTCTCTTCCCAAGTAGTTCTCTTGATAAAAATATCAGGGCATTGCACAGACCAACCATGAGGAATAACTTGAAAAATTGAACAAAACAACCACAATTCACAAGAATCTAGACTCGACAAGTTACTATCAACATGAAACTTTGTACATTGTTTTCCACTAGATACCCATGCCCTCCAAAGTCCAAAATTTGCGAGCATCATCTTAAAATGTTCAAGTACCCCTAGCAAGTCAAAGAATGAACAACTCCATCAAATAGTCAGAAAGATAGTTATCAAATTGACATCCAAGTTGATCACAACTTTCTACCAAGACCAACACTGGATGACGATTGAGGCTTTTTAAAAGCCCTTTCATCCTGATCAGCTCTGAAAAGAAGATTAGTCCAATTTGTAGACCTCTCAACAATTCTACTAGGAACCCGGTCACTGTCTTCCCCACCAGAAGCCTCATATCCATCACTGGTTGAACTTGACAGTGGAATTTCCTTCAGAGTTGCAGCACCAGCAGCTGAAGGACCTGCAAGCTGTCTCATTTTTTCAGCAACTGAAGAAGACACCCCAAAAGGGTGAATATCAGGAGAGTCTAAACTGCTTTCAGGAGATGAAGGAACAATCCCGGCCGAGCTTGACACTGCTTTAGTTGTCTGAAATGTGCTGCGTGCTTCTAACGGGAGAGGGGCCAACCTAGACATCCCACTCAAACCTTTATCAGTATTACTGGCAGAAACTTTTGTCAGGGACTCCATGGACATGTCGGCAGGAAGATAAACGCGCTTACTAGGTCGCTTCTTATTGTTCTCAATCCTGGGAACCATTCTTCGGCCACTGCTACCAAAACTGCTTTCTGGTTCTAGCCTGATTCCCTCATCATGTCTTATTACAGGCTGCAGAATTTTGGATTTTTTTCTTGCTTCTGCAGCAGCCTTAGAAATTTCTTCTGCATTTAAGCGTGCCAATGTCCAAGGACTAATTTTGACTGTTCCAGGATTCTTTTTCTTCAGTGGATCTTCTCTCATTGTCTTCTTTCCCAGTGAACTTACAGAACCTGTTTCTGGGGGAACCACATCAAACTGTAACCGATAATGTCCCATGCCCCCAAAAAAATGAAACAGGCAGTGCTCAGTAAGCAAACAAAAGGAAGAAAATAAATAAAATAAAATAAAATAAAATAGTATTTACAATCTAGACACAACTAAATGACATAGCAGAATATCACTCATTTAAAGGGAGAAGTCAATTAACCAAGCTTAACAGTTCATAAATTTTGTTTTCCAATGGGTGAAAGGATAACTCAAGCTATGCATGATATGCATACTGGAAAAAACCATCCAAGAAAGCTACAATAACTTCTGAAGCTGATATGCAACACTATTCTTGATATGTTTATTCAGTTAAATGGCATCATAACATAAGTTTTCTATGATCTACAACATTAATCACAAGCAAAGCAATTATAATTTCTGTTCTTTTTGTAACTTAAGTCATAGCGATCTTTTTGTTTTTCACAGCAACATGCTTCAATAAAATGATAGATGAGTATTCAATTGCAATTATGCAAGAAGTTCAAATCAACATTTTAAAGAAACAATGCTCTTGCAGGAAAGGCACAATACCTACTGGCATTTTAAGCAGAAAAAAAAATCAAAAATAAAATACGAAAGCAAACAATAATAATATATAAAAAGTCTAAGTTGAAAAAATGTTACCTGATCTTCAAGTAACAAGTGTGGAGGCGTGCACCAGGCACCTCGGTGTAGAGTAGTAAAGGAGCTTGCACTACTCAATCCAGTAAGTGAGCTAACAGTTGACATTTGGGGACTTTGCTGACCTCCATTTCCTAGCTGCTCCTGCTCCTGCTCCCTCATAGCTATGATGTAATCATATGTGCTGAGTCCCTGAGTCACTCAGCAATAACTATAATAATCAACACTTAGTTGATTATAGATAGATAGATAAATAATACAACCATCACAATATATCCAACTACCCAACTTGCATTATTTCCTTTTGCTTTCTTATCTTTTTTACTATACAAGGACAAAACAAATACTTGAAAAGATGCTGTCCTATATATGAATAATACAATCTAGGATGTGCTTTAAAATGAAGTTAAGTATTAACCAGATAATCAACATACCAAACAACACTCACCCTTACCTTTTTAATGAGGAGGATATGAAAGAAGAAAAGCTGAACAACCGGTAAGGTAGCAATCATAGCCAGAAGGGTGCAGACAGACTGAAATTTTTCACACGTCAAAATAAGAATAGCTGGCACTGGAAATAGCCTCAATGATTTTCATCAAACAAAAAGACAATCATAAACAAAGCAAAAAATAAGTTCGTTTGAAAAATAAATAAATAAATAACCATAATTATAGAAGTACAATAACCAGAGAGTTTGCACAAACATGAATAAAAAGGGGCACAGGGAGGGGGAAGCAGAATGCTCACCACCACAAGAACAAAGGGAACCATTGAGAAGCTGGTTCCCAACTTGGAGGAGATATCCAAAGAAAATTGCTTCCTCTTGATAAAACAGCAGATAAGCACAAGTATTCCAGTCAATGATTGAAGAATAAACTGCAATCTCAAGCCCAAGGTGCAAAAATCATGTATAGACCTGTCATTAGTTAGTTAAAATGAAAATAACTAGGAAATAAAATTCATTGTTTCATACTATATTTACTGTAGATTCAACCATGTGAATGATCAAGGCATAGGTGGACCATATTGCTTACCAAGAGCATAGCAGCAACCATGAGGGTGAAAAATTGTCGATAGTTCTTTTTCCCTATACAGTTGTTAAGCCACTGCAAAACCCAGGAAGCAACAGTCCTTCAGAACATACGTCAGGTGATAAGCAAAGAGATAAGAAGATATACTCATACTCGGCAATGATGATCAAAGTGATCTACACACTTGTCGCAAACTCTACAGTGCTTGCTGAACTTGAAAACCTACAACAATGTGAAACTGTTACCATCTAAGCATTGCAGAGTATGAGTTTGTAACAGAAGGTAATAGTGAAGTTATTCATGCACTAATGTCAAGGAAAAATTATCTTTTCACCCCCACAAGGAGTGAAGTCCAACAGTAATCTTAAAGGGGCAATATGTTTCTAGTTCAAAAACTTCTACGTACCTCAACTTCACACAAACTGCAATAGAACATGCCATCTTCACTGGCTTGTTTATCAGAGGATTTCTCAGTCGAATTAGAGCAGCTGCAGATATAAGCACAGGGAGAAGAAACCAAAAGGATACAGGATGAACAAGATGATGAAGTACTTGTCTCAAATGAGTTAGAAGCATCTTTCAAAATTCCTTTTGTTCCCAATGCCTCCTTATCCACAGAATTAGCTCCAACTGTTGATGCATTTGCTTCATGCATTGATGAAGTTGATTCTTCACCTAATTTAGAATTCTTTAGCTCAGCAAGCTTTTTACTGTCAGGGATTTTAAGATACTTTTTGGACCTAAAAACCCCTGGATCAGCTGGATCAGATGCTGCACACCAAATGTACAGTCCAAAGACACTAGTAATCTGGCAAAAGGAGAAATATCAGTAAACGATGATAACATCTTTCATGGGGAAATAACAGTCCTATCCCTGGGAGAGACATATATAGAAGGGGTTGCCAAAATAGCTAACAGATGGGGGGAAATATCAGAGGATATAAAGTAACTGCCATCCATGTTTCCTCATACTTCTGTCACTAGTCACTACAGCTTTCAGTATCATATAACTCAAATGTAGCATTTTGTAGTAATATTAAAATATTTCTGCATTGTACTAATTCCCATCTTTTCATATAATTTTGATTTTGACATTGAATAGTTCAAGATGATGCTAAACATTTAAAGATAACTCATTAATTTAGAGTATTGAACTACATGATCGTTTTTTAGATCATTAACGCCTGATCTAATAATCAACATTTGCATATGTTTTGAAAAACACACTATACATTAAATAAAGTTGATTGATGAAATATCAAATAAACTTTAAATTCTACGAAAAAATTAAGCTACCTTGAAATTTCATATTCCCAACATTTATTTGTGCCCGAGGTTTAATCAAATAGAACCAAAAATATAGTTCTAAGAAAAGACGAAATATAAAAGATTTGGTAATTAATAATCAAAAGAATTTAAAAAATAAATAAACTCCTTAAAATTGTAGTTCACACAAGTGTCGTGATGGCTATTTGTCAGAAGTAAGAACTTAAAAGTTAAAACGGATGTAAGAATTGGAGGAAGGAAAGAGACTTCAGAGGTCACAAACAACAAGCAACCAAATGGCCTTTATCAGCTACAGAGACAGCTCCATGGAACCTTTCGGTGAACCACACGACAATCCAAAGTGGTATATAATATAACGTAATGATGAGAAGGAAACCGAAAACTGGAAACAAAAAGATTTACAAAAGACATCAAACACATGAATCTGAAAGCAAAATAATCACAGATCTCACTCCTTCCACGAACCAACTTAGCAAGCAGAAAATGAGTATATTACTAAAAAAAAAAGGCAGAGAAAATCGGAGATGGGTTACTACCACTTACCAGCGGTGTGTAAAGGCCAATAACTACATACTGATACATTTTGTTTCCAACGAAAGGAGCGAAGAACACATAAAAGGCAAATCCCAGAGCCAGAAACACAGCAACAGCCACCACCTTCACAAACATTTTCCAAAATGAATTAACAAACCCCACAAGACAACCAAAGGAAAAAAAGTAATAACAACTTGTACAGAAAAAAAAAATCAAAATTTGCAGCCACCTGAAGAGGATGGTAAGGCAACTGCCATCCATGTTTCCTCATACTGTTTGACTTTGATGTTGAGTTCAAAATCCACAAAGTACCAAAAAGAACAATAGCATAGAACACAGAGAGCACTGGACAGAACAACCAGGGACGGTTACTTTTGTTTTTTTCCCAACATTTTCACCTCTAAGGGAAGAAAAATCAGATTTTTAGTCAAGGACAGAGAAAAGGGGGAGGTGGCCATGACATGTTGGGTGAAGCTGATGGAAAGAGATGTGTGAGAGAGAGAATGGGATTAGGATAGTGGTGGTGGGTCTGAAGTGTGAAGTGTGAAGTGTGAAGTGTGGAATGAACAAAGCTTTGTCTCTGTCTGGTTGAAGGAATGGTAAAGTGAGAGGGAAGAGGCAAAGGTATGGTCTTTTTTGGATTTTGGTTGCAAAAGCTTTTTACTTGCTTCATCAGAGATCTGTGACCATGGGTTTCTCATCCATCATCCATGCCCATAATTACTTACCACACACAACTTTTTACTTTTTGGGTTCTTTCTCTCTCTGCTGCTAATGCTACCTGCCACTGCAGCAAGCGGCGTTACTTTTTTGCAATGGCAAATCATGTGTCACAGGCCACTGCAACCAATTCTTGTTTGCTTCTGCTTTTGTAACAACTTGGTCTTAAAGCCACTCTCTCTCTCTCTCTAATCTCTTTCTTAGCTTTAATCTTTATCAATAATCATTGTGTGTGTGAGAGAGAAATAATAATAATAATAATAATAATCTTTACTGCATTAGTATTTCCTTGCGATTTGCACGTATTTAGAAAAGATAACCAAATTCAGCGGGAAATTACCAACCCGCCCAAATTTAATGTTCACAATTTTAAAACTAGAGGTTTATTAATTGTGAAGACATCCGAATTTAATACGAACAACCAACAACAACGAGTGTTAACTGTTTGGTACGTACATGCATCCAAGCGTGACAAATCCCGATTATGTAGCATAGCTTTTTGAAATTTTGAAAAATTTGTTTCTATTTATATCTTTTATTTATTTAAATTTAAATAGTATGATTTTAGTTTTTTTTTTTACAATAATATAAGTTTAGAATTTATGCCCTTATACACACATATATATATATATCATCTTAATCTTCACTGCTAAATCAATCATTTAATTATTATAAAATAAAGAAATTTTTATTTTGTTCTTTATAAAGATAAATTAATTTTTATAAAGAGCATTTCCACTGTAAAGCTAGTTCTTTAAAAATAAACAATTGTATCTTATAAGAACTTAGCATTGGAGCAAGTCTACATAACAAGAGAAGTTTCTTAAACTTACCCACCATATCTTATAAAAAACGAGTGCTAGCTTATAAATTAAAAACTAATTTATTTATATCAATAATAAAAAAAATTGCATGAAATGCTATTCTTCTCTCAATGACCCGTTTTATATATTATCTCAATTTTCATTACTAAATTAACTTTTTATTTCTTATGAGATGAAGTTTTCATTTTTGAATTTATAAAAGTAAATTGTTTTTTATTAGTAGGAAATATAAATAAAACTAATTTTCCAACCACTAGGTGCAATGGATCGTCTCATGTGAAATTTTTACTTGGATTCTCTCATTTGAAAATCTTCATCATTAAAACTTCATGTTGTAAAAAAAGGAATAGTTAACATCACAATAAGACTATCTAAAAAAAATTGAACAAAACGTTATAATAATTCTTTAAGGTGTATGATGACACTGACCTTAAGGACTTATCCGTGTTTTTTCCACAAGCCACCCAAGATACAATAAGGACTTCCCAATTAAGAATTGAGGAATAGAACTAGTACGGAACTAAGTCAACAAAGATCCTATAGAGAGAAGAGAGAGCTCAAAAGTATGAGGTGTGTAAAATTAATGAGACAGAGGCCTTCATATATAGGCAAAAGAGCTTAAGGACCACCTAAAAACTGTGCAAAGGAGAAAAATATGAATATTCTTATCGAAATATGATCGTTTAAAACAAAATATCTTATGTTGTGAAGATTTGGTCAATAAAAAATAAATAACAGATAATTAATAAGAAAACACATAAGTTTAATGACCAAGTCAACAATAGAAAAACATAACCCAACAATGATCATAAATTGGATAAGCTTTATTTTAAATGAAATAAATAAAAGAAATTTAATGTGATAAAAAATAAAAAAGTTTTTGAATCCTATAATCGCACGCACAATGGGGGGACAAAACAGAAGATTTGCACGGTTATAGGCCCACGAGGCCCATTCTCATGCATGTGAGTCCACTTACCTATTGTTTGTCTCTTTGGAAAATGTAAGACACACTTTAATATATAAGCAATTATGCTTTACTAATTCTAAGTAATGTGAGACTTTATTCTTTAAAATACTTCACATATATACAACAATCCCCACATATTTCAAAAGATTAAATTAATTTATTTTATTTATATATATATATAAAAAAAGATAAAGAAAGAAAGAAATTGGGTTCTCATATAGGTTGTAATGCATCAGATTTGGTGTAGTAAAATATATGAACCAAAATTTAGACTAATAAGACTTAACATACAATGAGATTGGTGTAGCAAGTTATATGAACCAAAAACACTTAACGTACATTAGTGGTTCACCATTCACATTACCCCCATAATCTTTATCATTATGGTTGTTTAGGGCTACTAGGCCATGTGCATGCCCGATATTCATAAGTACTAGAGATCTCGCAAGGATCTCATGCAAGCAACCCCACTTAACATTCATATAGGTGATTTCATCAGTGTATGCTATAAATCAAGCACCATCATAAGGGATATGAAAATCATTAAAAAATTTATAATGTGTCAATTTTTCTCATTTAAAATTAACTATAAAACTTATTTTCTCATTAATGCAACTCTAGCACTTTTTCACATCAAAGGAAGGGACTAAGATTTTTAAAAAAGAATCAAGTTTAGTACTAACAAAATTGACAAGTGACTTGTTATTACATATATGAACCTTATTCATGGGTTCTCCAATCATAAAGGTTGGATTACCATCACTTATTTGTTTTTAATTGGCTTAAGTCTCATTCCTCTCGATGTTTCAAAAATTATTTTTCTTCCTAGGGGTTTTGTTAAAGGATCTACCAAGTTGCCCTCTAACTTCACATAAATGATGGAAATCGTTCCATCCTTTAGTAGTTGTTTTATCATATTATGTCTCAATTGTATGTATCTATTTTTCCCATTTTAAGTTAAACTATAGTTATTATCAATTTGTTGTTTCAATGTATTGGTATTGATGGGTTGGTTTCACTTCTAGAGGAATATTTGCCAATAAGTTTTTCAACCACTCAGCCTCAATACCAGGCATCTCTAAAGCTACAAACTCTGGCTCCATAGTTGATTTAGCAATGATAGATTGCCTAACTGATCTCCATGCAACCGCATAACCACCAAGTGTAAACACATAAGTAAATTTTGTCTCAAATGAATCAAAGATCCAATTAGAATCACTGAACCGTTCTAGTACAAGGGAAAATCCATTATACTCAATACCATAATCCATGGTATCTCTCAAGTATTTCATTAGTCTCGCAAGTGCCTCCTAACGATCTTGATTAGGACTATGGGTATATCTACTCGGTGTACCTACTGCATATGCAATATCAAGTCTAGAAATATTCATCAAATGCAACAAACTCCTTGTAATTTGGACATATGGAGGTTGAGCAAGGGAATCTCCTTTATTCTTCTTTAGTTGAGAGTTAACGTCATAAAGGATAGTCATAGGCTTATAGTCATAATAATCAAACTTCTTAAGAAATTTTTCAACATGTTGCTCTTGGGATAGTAAAATATTATCACATTTCCTTACAACTTTTACTCCTAAAATTACACTTATCTCACCCATGTCTTTCATATCAAAATTAAATGCAAGAAAATAAAAAGATTTAGGTTTGAAAACTATATCATCACAAGTAACAAAAATAAGCATGTCATTCACATACAAGCATATGATAACACAGACATCATTCATAGACTTGGTGTACATGCATCTAGTAGCACTACCAGAAGTAAACCCATCACCAAGTAATACTTGATCAATTTTTCATGCCATTATTTTGGTGCTTGTTTCTTTTAATCCATGTAGGAATTTTAAGAGTTTGCACACTTTGTTCTTTTGACCAAAAACCACACACCCTTTAGGTTGAGTCATGAATTTCCTCCTCTAAATCACCATTTAAGAATGTGGTTTTTACACATCTAGGCATGGCAATGGGGCAGGTTTTACGTTCCCTGCCCCTGCCCCCGCCCTCAATACTCGTTAAGGGTAAAATATGGGTACCCATCCCCGTCCCCGACGGGTTTCAGGTTTCCCCGCCCCACCCCTACCCCTACTCCTATCTTTTTTTTTTTTCTTTTTTTCTTTTAAATAATATGAACAAATTTTAAAAAATAAAAGAAAAGTAAAATAATACAAATTTTTACATATAAATATTACTAATTTTGGTTTATATATATATATATATAATTTTTTAATTATATTATTAAGCGGGGCAAGGGCGGGGGCAGGGCAGGGCAGGGCGGGTATTAACATCCCAGTCCCCACACCCACCCTCGATTTTATCAATCGGGAAAAACTTGAACCCGATAAACACGAGTTTTCCCTATCCAAATTGGGACGGGTTCAGGTGGATACTCACAGGGGCGGGTTAGATTTCCATGCCTATACACATCCATCTAAAGTATCACAAGCCTCTAGATAGACTTTAAGGCTATTAAACTTGGATAAAAGAAATCCTAGCAATAGGAGCAAAGGTATCAAAGTAATTTATATCCTATTTTTGAGTAAACCTCTTAGCTACTAATCTAGCCTTGTATTTCTCTACGAATCCATTAGGTTTATACTTTCTCTTAAAGATCCACTTATATCCCATTAGTTTTGTTCCTTTAGGTAAGTCCACTAAAGTCCATGTATTATTTTCTTTGATGGAATCAATTTCAATCCTAATAGTTTCTTCCCAAAACTTTGCATCTAACGAACTAATAGCTTCCAAGAAACTTATAGGATCATCCATAACTAGATAGGTATAAAAATCATCTCCAAAAAATGTTTCTTCCATTTGTCTTTTACTTATCCTCAAGTCTTTAAACATATATATCAATAGATGCTTCTAAAGGTGAACGTTGACAAGAGCTAGTACTAGACCTTAAACAGAAGTTTCCCTCAAAGAATTCAACATTCTTAGTCTCCACTATAGTATTATAATTTTAAGGACAAAACACCTATAGGCAACACTATTTTCAGTATAACCCATAAACATACAATCAGAAGTCTTTGACCCTATTTTCCTTTTCTTAGGATCAAGTAATAGAACTTTAGCTAGGCACCCCCACACTTTCAAATACTATGTTAGGTTGATATCATTTTCATAACTCATAGGATGTTTTACTAGTCCTCTTGTGGGATATCCTATTTTGTAGGAAACATGTAGTTAATAGGGCTTCTCCCCAAAGGTTATTAGGAGCTTAAGAACTAATCAACAAGGCATTCATCATTTCCTTACGGGTTCTATTTTTTCTCTCAACTACTTCATTGGATTTAGGTAAATAAGAAAAGGTTACCTCATGGATTATACCTTCCTTTTAGAAAAAGTCATTAAATAAAATGTACCCAT